TTGTAATTTTTATTTTATCAGTTTTATTCCCTACCTATCTCTTTGAATTGGTGCAGGAGGTTATATGTTAGCATCAAAGCCCGTAAATCGAGGAGAATAGAAGGAAAGAGAGGAGAAAAGAGAGAGACCCAAAAATCCTAATTTGTGAAAATTCTCTTTTTGGTCATTGTGGTGGTGGGGGAATGCATGGGTTAGGAAGTCCTTGCATAAATAAATGGGGTTTTGAGGTTGGCCTGTCTGGTGCTCTAGCATTTCTCAAAAAAAAAAAAGACAACAAAATTGTGATGGGTTTTGTTTTGTTATTAGTAAAAAATGGGAGGACAGAAATTAGGGTTTGAGAATGCCCCCACCATGTCTTTCTGTATATGTTGATTGCTGCATTTGTATTTCTCCTTCTTGTTGCATACATCAAAAGATATATATATATATATATTCCTTCCTTCCTTTGATGCCATTCTTCGCCTTATTGATGCCCTAGTGTTGTCATTTTGTCCATTTAAGTATTTGTTTTGAAGGGCACATCGTGGGTTTTAATGCTTAGGACAGAAAGGGCTTATACCCCCCCACATCACATATGGTACCCACCATGCATTGGGTCCCTAACAAGGAGATCTGATTGATAAATAAATAAAAAAATCATCTGAGCAAATGATCGTAAGCGACTCACCTACCTGACTCTTTCTGTCAACGACAGATGGTGGATCTTTTTCGCATCAAAGCTCAAAGAAAGCCCTTTTGTGGGACCCTTTTTGTCTTTAGAGAATGTCTTGTCCTTCCTTTCCATCCTCACGCGATTCTGCCTCTTACGTTCTTCCTCCTTATGGCAGCGGGTAATCATGAATCATGATAGCTCTCTCAAGCTAGCACTTTAAATTGCCTCTCTGATCGTGCAAATGCGAATCACTATAACTAAAGACGAGAAGGAGAGAAATCTTCCATATACCTACTATCAAGAGCTTGACGGCATTAAGAGAGCCAACCATTTAAAGCATATAATACTTGACACTATTACATGTTCAATCCAAATGTCCATCATCTCAAAAAGTCTTAAACCAAACTCCTTTGCATAATTCAGATCGGATTTTTGATTTCCCTCTGATCCTCGCAAACAGACTGCATGAAATTATCCTAGACTTAGTGAGTCCAAACCAATTTGCCTTTGTGAAGGGACGGATCATTTCTGATAACATGCTTCTGGCTCATGAACTTATTAGAAACTATCATCGTGATAAAGGAAAGCCGAGATGTGCGATCAAGATTGACATCCGAAAGTCCTTTGATACCATTAATTGGGAGTATATTCTTATCGTCTTGAGTTTGATGGGTGTTTTCTTGACTAAGATGATAGACTGGGTGAAGACTTGCATTTCCACTCCGAAATTCTCTATCAATATTAATGGATCTCCAGAGAGATTCTTTAAAAGCTCAAGAGGAATTCGGCAAGGAGATCCCTTATCTCTTTTCCTTTTTATCATTGCTATGGAAGGTCTCTCTTCTTCTTTGGATAAAGGAGCCCTTTCGGGAGGAATATCTCTCCATGCTAGTTGCAGAAATCCTTTGGTGACTCACCTTTACTTTGCAGATGATCTCCTTGTGTTTGTACAGGCTGATGAGACCTCGGCATCCAAGCTTCAGCATATCCTTTATCAATTTTCAGAACAATCTGGGCTTTACCCGAATTTTGACAAGTCTCAAATTTTCTTTGCTGGTGTTGCTTCTCGTGCAAAGCGTTTAATGAATGAGACTTTTGGCTTCAAGGAAGGTTCCCTTCTAGTCAAATACTTGGGGATGCCTTTGACATCAAGGAACCTTTCCTTTCGGGATTGTCATCCTTTGATTACTCTTTTCTTGAAGAAAGTTTCAGCTTGGAAAGGCAGACTTCTATCGTATGTCGGTCGATCTGAACTGATTAAATCAATTCTCATGAGCTCCCACACTTACTGGACAAGTTGTTTTATGCTCCTGAAGAAAACAGTGAAGCTTCTTGAGCAAATTAGTTATTGTTTCTTGTGGGGTGGAGCTGATGCAGTCCAAAACAAAATTCTCATTAGCTGGTCTCGTGTATGTTGCCCTAAGGATGAGGGTGGTCTGGCTATTCGGCGATTGGGAGATTCCAACCTTGCTGCCATTTTGAGGCACATATGGAGCTTAGTTTCTCAGCGCAAAAGCTTATGGTCTGAATAGATTACCTCCAATCTCATCAAACAAAAAAACTTTTGGTCTTTAAAGCTTCCTTCAAACTGTTCTTGGTCTTGGAGAAATATTCTGAAAAGCAGAGCCTTGGCAAAAGACTTAATTATTCACTCGATCGGCAATAGATCTTTGACTTCCATCTGGTTTGATCCATGGCATGCAAAAGGTATCCTCCAAGATGTATATGGCTCAAGTCTCCAAATTGAGTCGGGTCTTTCTAGCAACGCCTCTATTTCTTCCTTGATTGAGAATAACACTTGGTCCACTCCTCCAACTACTTCAATGGATCTTCAAGAAGTCTGGTCAGACCTTCCTTACTTACATCCATCATCTTCATGGTTTGACGATCCAGTCCATTTGAAACCAGACTCTTCAGGCAACTATAGTCTCCGCTCAGCTTGGTGTGCGATATATAATCCCCATCCGAAGGTATCATGGTTTGGTCTGACTTGGTTTACGATGAACATCCCGAGACACAGTTTTATAGCCTGGTTAGTGTTATCAGGAGTGCTTCAAACTCAAGACGTGCTGGTTCAGCAATCAATCCTTAGTCAATCCTGGTGCCTGTTTTTTCGGAGCTACAACGAGAATAATGGTCACTTATTCTTTAAGTGTCCCTACTCGAGAGCCATCTGGGTACATTTGCTTGGCTACTGTGGCTTTAATCCAAGACCAATTCTAGACTGGAAACATGAAACGGTGTAGATTTCCTCTTCTTTTAAAGACAGTGATGTGATTCAATCATTCAAAAGGGTCGTCTTCAGTGCCACAATCTACCACATTTGGAAGGAGTGCGACAACCGCATCTTCAAAAATGAATTCCTTGATCAAGCTTCTATTATTTCTCGGATAAAAAATGATTCAAGAGGCTGCTTTGTGTTTCCTAAACCTTCTCTTGAGGGCACCCCTCGTAACAGATATTTTATGGGACAATGGGGTCTAGATGTTGAATTTCATATTACCACTCCTTGTTCCTGCTCGTGGCTGCCCCCTCCTCCTAACTTCTAGGCCTTGAACACCGATGGTTCGCTGTGTGGTTTAACAGCCGGCATAGGAGGGATTCTACGGGATCATAGCAGAGAAGCATGCGCTGAGTTCGTCGAAGGCTGCTCACCATGCCAAATTGAACAGCTGGAACTTAAGGCGGTAAATCGAGGTCTTCAAATGGCCTTGAATTGCAGTGCTTCTAGTTTGCTGGTTTACTCGGACTTGAAATGGGTTGTGGACGTTCTCTCTAAGAATCTGCCCACTCCTTGGAGGTGGTCAGCTGATCATCGGGAAACTGGTAGGCTTTTAGCCCTTTTTGACTGCTACAAGTTTATCCACATTTTGAGGGAATAAATATGAGAGCAGACTGGCTTGCCAAGCGCTGTACTTCCCTTTCAAGTATTTCTTTTGATTCCCGTGAGTTGCCAATGGCGCTTCAAATGATTGTTTCGGATGATCTCTCCGGGAAACTTTACTACATAATGTAATAGGGTTTCTTCTTTTATTCTCTATTCTGGTCGGGGTCTGCCTAACCCCAGCTTGCCTTCCAAAAAAAAAAGTACCTAATATCGAGAGTTTTAAATCACTTCCTATATGAGAAAGAAATTAGCCTACTCTTTAACCTCGAATTTCTAAATATGATAAAGAAGTAGGTTGCCTTTGGGTATGCTTAACTATTAAATTAAGATTTGTAGCATTAATATGTAGTTAAACTCTTGTTTGGCAACAAAAATATGTATTAGAAATAAGATTCAAAAGCTTGTATGGTTAATACTTAAGAGCATCTCCAACGCAGTCTTATTTTGTGTTCTATTGCTATATTACAGTATTGGGATGAAAAAATTGGTCTCTAACGGTAGTAAATGACAAATTATATGCTATAATTTGTGTCAAATTTGGCACAAAGAATAGCATATGATATAATTTTGCACACCCTTTAACTCATTGACTTTTATTAGGTATTTATTATTTTGTCCTCCAACAGTTAATTTTTTTTTCCATTTTATCCTCTAACAGTTATATTTGGTTTTTTTATTATTATTTTTCCCTCTAACAGCTATAATTTTTATATTATTTTTTCCTCAGGGGTTGTGATTGTGAAAAAAATGGAATTGGCACAGTCAATTTGGCACAGACCATTAGAGCAACATGTGCCAACTATGACATTTTTGCACTGTAGTTGTGCCAAATTTGGAATTGGCATAGCCAATTTGACACATGGAGAACAATTTTTAAAGCTAGAAAGATATTTTGATATTTTAGAATGTCTATAGAATATAAAATTATCAAAAAATTTAACACTTGTGATAATTAGAGTAATTTGGCTCAAAAGCTCATTCAACTATTTCACTTAAGCATGCACTTCAGAGCTTAATGGGACAGACATTTTAAGCGTACTAACTGCTCATTAAGACGTGCAAATAACATATTCATAAACAACCTTAATTCTGAAATTCAAAATTAAGCTATGTTAAGAATTAAAGTTTTTTTTTTTTTTGCTATATTAAGAGCTGAAGTAAAGCGTTCCATAATTTAGCTTTGTTAAGTTGATTGTCTCATAGTACTTTTTTCAAGCACTTGCACATAAGGGTACTTGTCACCTTTTGAAATGGGGCAACAAAAAAAAAAAAAATTCATGCACCAGCATAACTAATCAGCCTACACTTATATACCGGGTAACTTTTTGTAAGAATTCTCTAATCATCCCAATAAAAATTGGCTAGAATCTTCTAAAGTTGATGACGGATTTAGTAAACAATTCATATATACAACAATCCAAGGCGATAAGTAAGTAATTGTGCTGTACATGTTCCGTAGTTGGTGCTGTGGTGTAGTTGGTTATCACGTCAGTCTTACACACTGAAGGTCCCCAGTTCGAACCTGGGCAGCACCATTTTTTCATATCTTTTTAATAATAATATTAGCCTGCCCAAGAAACTGGGATTGATCGGAATATCAAAGTTATCCAATCAAATGGAAGGAGTGGACATGTTCATTTCAAAATTTTGAGCATTTTAAGAAGACTTCACAGAAAGAAAGAATTTGGAGAGCAAAATGAGATTCCAATACGGAGAGCAGTCAATTGTGGAGAAGAAAGCAGGGCAGTTTTGGTGCACAGAGGCAGAAATTCTTCTCATCTTGTTTTGTTCTTGGTCCCAAGAGGCTTAGGAGGCAAGTCTGATGTGAGATCTGGCGAAATCTGTTATGACTCGGCTAAGTTTCTGTGAATGAACCGGAGGAATTGTTTATATAAGCGATTCCCACTACTACCCATGGAAACTATGGAGAGATATCTTCTATGTCGGAGAATCACACTAAGCAGCAGGGCCGGCCCATCCATTAGGCCATCAAAGCCTTTGCTTTAGGCCCCGTTAAAAATATATATATATATATATATATATTAAAAAGGCCCCATTTATAGTTAATTTTATTTTAATAATATATAAATTTTTTTAAAAAAAGCCCCATTTAGAATTTTCGCTTTAGGCCTCCAAATGGATTGGGCCGGCCCTGCTAAGCAGCTTGGGATTGTTAGATGATCATGATAGTAACCTTTGGCCGTATCTTTTCTAAAACCAAGCCTAGTGATGGGGGAGCAAGTCAACCATTTTTAGTCTCAAAAGCATCCTGTGTAACCTTTAGGAATGCATAGTATTGACTTAGATATTACATAATTCAAATGCAGCATCGTTCCAACTTTTTCATGTGTTTTCTAGTCATCTAGCTTGGTTTTCGCAGATTTAGGCTTTTACACTGCAAATTTAGTGATCTTTAACTAATGTCAACTAAAAGTTTTATACTTAATGTCTATCTGTACACCTTTATGATACAAACATGGTCAAGATCAATTAACAAGGTCGACCCCAATGTGATGAACCAGCGAATCAAAGAGCACCGTTCAATTGAGCTACAAGACAATTCAACAGAGTAGATTTTCTATCATTACCAGTCCTGGCTCATGGAGACAAGTTCAAGTACAATCACAAGGTTCAAGAAGCACGTAAATATTTATATATTCCAATATTAACTTAACCTTTCATGCAGAAAGAGACAGTTTTGTTGATTCTATGTAATATAGCACTAACTCAATCAGTGACATCATTTGCATTGGTTCTGTTTAAGTATGTTGCTACAACTTATGCTGTAGACCCTCCATATTGGGAGACCTGATAATAATCTCATATCCACTTTGGATATCTTGAAGTTTCACTATTCAAGGGTAAATGGTAATTGATCTGGTTTAATCAACAAACTCCACCATTGCCTTGCTCTGCACTGCATTGCTGGTTCCAGACATGGATAAAAGAGGAGAGTAGTGTCAGATTAGCAGCCACTGTAAAAATTTGGCTAGATCATATGACATGGGAAATGCTCTGATCCTAAGGATAGATATGAGCCAATTCAAAGGAAAGATAACAGCAAAGAGGAATCTATTTCTCGAAAAGCAATTTCTTTGCACAGAAACTAATGATTCAATTGAAAATGCAGAATCTAACAAAATGATTCAATTTCTTCTACTATGGCCAATACATTTGTCATATGAAATTACCTCAGAATGAAAAAATAAAAATACTACCAAGGGTATTTAAAAAATGAATTAATTAAAACAGAAAAACCAGCAGAACTGAGGTTAAATTCCACAGAGATCTTGTCTGAATTCCTTAGTACAAGTTGATATCAATTTGAATAGCCTGTCTGGCCTCTGGGACACAATACTAAAAGAGAAAACGATGGAAAGAGACCTGATAATTGATATAAATCACAAACAGCAAAAGCATAATTCTGTTTTTAGTTCAACACAAAATAAACCTTATTTTTTGCTCAAAATCCATGAGAAAACTATGCTCATCGCCCATTCGAATCGATAAACTGTGAGAAGACCACACTCGTGTTTAGGCTGTTTGATTCCTCACTTACAGAACTCTCACCTCCAATACTTAAGTTGGTTCCATTCGCACTCATATTATTTCCGTGGCTAAGATCTTCAGAAACATTGTTCGCTCCACCTTCTGCAACCAGATTTGCACCATCAGGATTTACCTGCAACTGGAGCGCAAACTCGAGATTCCACAACACATCGCCCATCATCGGGCGTTCGACACCCTGATCAGACAAGCATTTCTCTGCAGTATCTGCAAACTTTTTTAAGCACTTCTGGTTGATATTTCCCTTGATATGGGGATCAATGATGTCCTCGAGAATTCCCTTTCTTTGACAGTTTAGAGCCAAATCAGCAAGGCTAACTTGTTCCTTGGGAAGGCTAGGATTGAGAGCTGACCTTGCACTTAAAACCTCAAAGAGGACAACCCCGAAGGAGTACACATCGGATTTTTCTGTCAATTGTTGCCGTCGGAAGTACTCAGGATCCAAGTACCCAAAGCTACCCTTCACCACTGTACTAACATGCGTCTGGTTGAGATTGGGACCTGTTTTGGAGAGCCCGAAATCAGAAACCTTGGCAACCCAATTCTCATCTAAGAGAATGTTGGTGGTCTTCACGTCCCTGTGAATGATAGTATACTTTGCACCTGTGTGAAGGTAATGAAGTCCCCTTGCAGCTCCAATACAAATCTCCAACCTCTGCTTCCATGATAGAGGAGATCTGTTGCCCTTATAGAGATGCTCTCTCAGAGTTCCAAAAGCCATATAGTCATACACCAATATCATCTCCTCATTCTCTTCACAGTATCCAATCAGAGAGACCAAATGTCTGTGTCTAAGCTTAGAAAGCATCTCAATTTCGGTCTGGAACTCATGAACTCCTTGTTCCGAAGATGGGTTTGATCTCTTAATAGCTACTTTGGTCCCTCCATCAACAACTCCTTTATAGACCTTCCCGAACCCTCCTACACCAATAACCTGAGACTCATCGAAATTCCGAGTACCATTTTTTATCTCCGCTAAGGAGAAATGCCGACAGAGATTTGCAGCCATGGATGAAAGTTGGCTACTTGCAGTACTCTTTCCAGAGATTGTAGATTTGCTTGCCGTTGTGTGGGAGCTTGTAAAAAGCGGCAACCAACTGGATGAGCCTGACTCAGGGTCAAGGACTTTCTTCTTACGATGGTAGACAGCAATGCAGAGAGCAACCACTATACTAAAAGCCGCAGCACCACCTGCAGCACCACCGATCACTCCGGCATGACTCTCGGATTTTGATGGAGCAAAAGTCCTCATTTTTTCAGATTCTGCCTTAAGGAGCATAGCAGATGGCACAGGATTGGGGCCTGCTAAATTCCCCGCCGTGTCATTCAGCTTGAAGATCTCCAGCCCATTGAGGATTGCATCATAGAATTCAGGCTTTATTGAGGTGGAGGGATGCAGTGCCACCCACAATTGCTTGTCGCTAACGTATATCGCATAATCCTTGTACACTGGCACTGCCTTTGATCCCGACCATGCAATCACATCAGCGTTTCGCTGCGCTGTCTGGTTGTTGAGGTAAATGTCAAAAACTCTCTGATTGATCTTGGTCAGGTGCAACTCACAGAAGTGGAACCTAACAATATACATGAAATTCCCATCAACCTGGAACAACCATGTGAGATTGTAATTCTGATTGAGTTTCAAATCCGGACCCATTGACCTCAATGTGCTATAAACATCGACAGGGGCTATATAGTCTGGCATATCTGAAGGATACAGGATCCTAACATTCTTTTCAGCCTCAGAGGTGACCCCAAATGCAGCACCATACAAATATGGGGAGTCGTCGTACCATGAGCGACTAAGGCTGGAGTCGTTATTCGCCGGAATATACTGCCCACCAACATTTAGCCTATACATTGTCTGCAAGCTAGAGCTCTCGGCATCGACAAATTGGTTGGAGAACCCGACCAATGTCGCTGGTTCAAACACATCTGACATGGGAATTACCTCAACACCATTTACAAAAGCATAAGATCCCTTATGTTTATCTGATGGCTTGAAAGTGATTTTGAGATTGCCTGTATTAGAGGGTGTAATAGAAAATTCTCTTACTATGTAAGCCTGTGTAAGAGCTTGGGCTGTAATAGGAGCACTAAAATTGCTTACGAGTGTAGCCCCACCTGCAACAACTGAGAAATATGCATCGGTAGGGTTGAGGGTGCTGTAAGAAGATGGGTAGAAATGGAGTCTAACCCAATGACGCTTCTTTGAGGAAATAGAAAATTTGTATGTTGATTCAGAAGAGAAAATTCTGGCAGACATGTATGGGACTATAGAAGGCAGGGAGGGATCTTGGTAATCAGCTTTAGCCGGAATGGAATTCTCCGATGAGGTAAGGTACTTTGAATCCGGTTCCCATTTCCGGCCATCGCCGTCGGTACCGCCACTCTTAGAACCACAATTCAGGATAAAAGAATCCAAGTCAGATTTGGCCTTATAGATAAAAGAGAAGAAAATGAGAGAAAACAAAAAATGGGTATTGGTGTTCATGGCTGCAGAAAAAAACCCTTTTGAGGAAATTTTGAGAGATGATGATGATTGATACAGAAATAGAACAGATTTGGGGCACAGGAAAACAGAGGATGCGTTTTAGAACAGAGAAGAAAGTTTTCCTGTACGGCTAAAGCACATGAAAACGACTTCTGGGTTTTCTTTTGGTATTATCTTGGATTAATCGAACCCCATCTTTCTCAATCATGGAGATTCGAAGACTTACAAACTTACCTTGATTTCGGGGGACCCAACAAGGCAGAAGAGAGAGGATGATTAAGAAGAAGAAGAAGAAAACGGGTTCCTAAAATTTCAATTTTTCTTCTTTCTGTTTAGGGTCGACTGTACAGTAGTTGTTAAGAAGAGGAGTTAGAGATGAATGGTTATGAAACATGGGATTTCCATCAAAAATGGCACCACAAGCTGAAATTAGTGTTTTTGAGATTGTCTTATAAAGCGTTAATAGCGGTTTCA